AGTCTCACTTGCCCCAACTGACCTCAAACTTGTGATCCTCCTTACTGAGTCTCCTTAGTAAATGTGACGTTATAAATAATAATTATATATTGACTAGCAATGGCAAATAAGGCCAAATAAATGGAAAAGCATTCTTTTTATATAATCAGTTACAAAATATTAAATTTGAAAATATTCTATAAAATATCAATTATATTACTTTTATTACTGAATGAAATTTTATTTTTATTGTTGAAATTCCTAACTGTGGGGGTCAGATAATTTTATAAATAGCTAAGATGCTTACTTACACACTGAGCATGTTCATTCAACTTTTTTTTCTTTTCCAGCGTCACATAACATACCTTAGATAGTCTTTTAGAAGATTCACAATTTTGATCTGTACATGGCTTGGGTCCTTTTTCAGTGTCTAGAGATGAAACTGAGAAAATATATTATATTTTATCAAGGTTCTAATGTACTGCATCACAATATTTAAATTGGATTTTGAAGATCATTTGTCTAATATTCCTCTTCCATTAAAAATTTAAGCAATTTTTTCTAACATTACATAACTCTTCAGAATGAACCTAAGCCAAATATTTGTTTTATGTAAATCAAGAAAACCTCTCTTCTATAATAAACTTAATTAAATTTCTTGATAATGCTTGGTTATTTTTATTTTATAGAAGTTTAATGATAGATTTATTTCAACTTGTATAGCATATGTATGCATAAGTGTGTGTGCATTCATTCAATCGTATATTTAACTCTGACCATATATTATAATGTGTGTCACTAGCTCAAATCAATTCTTAATGTTTTCTGATGAAGTGATAAATGCAAGATGTACTCTGCTAATAATACTGGAAAGAGAATGAGACTGGATTATGGTATTGGCCATCGTAACTGAAATGATAAACATATTCATACACGTATGTCTCATTATTTATCAAATAACTACCAAGAGCCAACTATGTGCCAGATAGTATTGTTCTAGGTATTTGGAATATATAAGTAAACAAATTCAATACTGAAAAATTCCTCCTATACTACCAAGACTTAAAACTGAAAGAAGAAATAGGAAACAAAGGATTTCTATTAATAATCTTTCTGAATCTTAGCATCAATCTCACTGCCTCATTAAAGCTCTAAAACCTTTCGTTTCTCTCAACTATTCATCAAAATATATAGAAAGAAATCTTATTTTGAGTCCTAGATCTATCACTAATAAACATATAAACAGACATATTATTTACTCTCAAGATTTTCACATTCTATAAAATAATAGGCAGTGAGATAATGTGAATTTTCCCCATTCTTTAACATCTGTGTGAATATGATTAAAATCATAAATATTTCAGACCAACAAAGCTACTAATAATTTAGCCATTAGTAATCATGACAATTTGATTTTCCCCATACTCCTACCCATATCTCTCATTAGCTATTATAGAGTGCTCCAAAAAAAATGTATACATGATATTGTTTGTTTTCTATACAATTCTTTCTAAAAATCAACAATTTACTATGGAAGATCTCAATCATCCATCTCCTTAGTAATATCTCCCCTACATTAGAGCCCACAGAGCGTCTAAAAAACTTTAATGTGTATTTACTAGATAAAATCTTTGAATCAACTATCTCCCATATGTTCAAGGAGCTGGAGAAAATTATGGACAAAAAAACTAAAAAAAAAAATCAGGAAAATCCTGTCTTGACAAATACAGAATATAAAAAAGTTAAATAATACAAAGGAATCTAATAAAAATTCTAGAACACAAAATTACAACAAATGAAGGAATTCATAAAGATTTTAAAATGGATTGAGCAGTCAGAAAAAAGAATCAGTCAACTTGAAGATAGTCATTAAAAGTATTTAGTCAGTGAAGAACATAAAATAATGAAGTTAGGCAACCTCTAGGATAACACCAAATGTATCACATACACATAAAATAGGAGTTAAAATAAGAGAAAAGAAAAAGAAAACAGAATGAATATTTAAATAACAAACAGTTAAAATTTCCCAAATTTGATAAAAGTATAAATTTACATGTATAAGATGATCAGAGAAATCCACATAAATCCCAGGGGAAATGCAAGGAATTCCACATTGTGTCATATTATACTCAAACTGTCAAGTGTGAAAGAGAAAGACAGAATCTTGAAAGCTGCAAGAAAGAAGTAATTTGTCACATATAATGAGTCTTATAATAAGATCAACATCAGACTTCTCATTAAAAACCATGGAGGGTAGTATATATTGTTCATACTGAACCTTTTTAAAATATAAATATATGGACAGATAAAAAGCAAAGAGATGGAGAAAAATATGCCAAGCTTATATGAATCAAAATAAAAAAGCTGGAGTATCAATAATAATTTCAGAGAAAGTAGATGAAGGCAAACATAATTGTGAGGAATAAATCAATTATCCACAAAGACACCAGAATCTCTAATGTGTATGTACCTAACAATAGAGAACACAGCCACCTGAGGCAAAATATTATTAAAACTGTAAGGAAAAATACAAGAAACAACTATTATATGTGGAGATATCAACACCTCTCTATTAGTAACTAAAAAATCTAAAAACCAAAAAAGTGAAAAAGAATACAGTTGACCTGAGAAATACCACCCTTCAATTGTACTAAACTGACATTCAGAAAATATTTCATACAACAACAGTAAATAAACATTATTTTCAAGCTCACATTAAACCCTCACTAATAGGACCACATTTGGGGTCATATTAAAGATATTAACATTTTT